AGAATAAATCTGATTTTCCCCCTTTTTTAGGCTTTCGGCTATGAGGAAGAACGTGCTCGCGAAATGCTATGGAGGCGATGTTACGAGAAAAAGGAAGCTTTTGGAAAAACAAAAGGAGGGAAAGAAGCGAATGAAGCGAGTAGGTTCGGTTGACATTCCACAGGAGGCATTTCATGAACTGCTCAAAGTCTCTTGAATTGGTAACCCCAATATTGTGCTGTAATAATTGGAAAAAATTATGTGCTTTTCTTTGTGAGAACAATAGCTTAAATTTTTTTATTTTCTTTTCTAATAATAGTCAGGAATTTTGTTAATTATTGTAAAAGAAAAATGGGTACTTGGTATCTAATGAAAAATTTTGGATTTTAAGTGGGCTTTTTATGCATAATGACAGTGTATATAGCCTCTTCTTAAAAAATGTATATTTGAGGTGTATAGACTCAGTTTGTTTGTGTCAGAGAGAGAGAGAGAGAGAGATTTCTTCAGGCTTGAGAAACTTTTCCATTGTATATTGTGTTGCTGGTAATTTCTTCAAAATAAATCGGAGTGTGGCAAAAAGTGAATTGGTGGGGGAAATTACAGAATTTGGTGGGGAAGATATATAGTGGGGAGATTCATTGATGAAATTTTATATTTAGGAGATGGGAAAATATTCTATAAGCCAAAGGGTTCATATATACAATACAACTGGAGCTTGAAAACACAGTCAGGAGGGCTTTCATGGGCTAAAATTTTGATTCCAAATAATCTAAAAAAATAAAATTTGAGTTCTTGGAGGCTTAGATACACTATGATGGCTTGTCATTATAAAAAATGGCATATTCATCTGTAATTATTATTATTAGTTTTTTACAAGGAGACTATTTACTTTTAATACAAGGCAGTCATAATCACTTTTATCAAGTATCTATTTGTCTAGAGTCAAAGTTCAAAGTAAAAATTTTTTGAATCTCGTGGCACACCCTAAGGTGCTCAATTTAACATCTAATAACTATGAGTAATTATGATTTATTTGTAACAAAAATAAATGGTTTGGAATATATTAATTCCTTTAAATATGGATGAAGTTTATGTGGGGCTTAGGCTTTATGAAAACAAAATAAAGCCTCACCTCAAATCCTCATGCGAATAGCACTTTGGGCATTGGAAATTTTATGATGGTTCTAAAATCAATTTCTAACACCGACAATAAAATTTGAATCTAAAAAAAATAGTATATATCTTGCAGATCTGTGAACGCTTTTTTTGGGGTGAAATGGACGGTCTAGATGATTTATTGCAATATTTTGTAGAACTTTTTTTAGGGTGAAATGAATGGTCTAGATGATTTATTGCAATATACACTATTTATAGAACTTGAAATTCTAATTTTTTTTTTTCACAACCACAACGCAATTTTTGAAAAGTTTTGAGGTGAGGCTTTACTTATTTTGATAGGGCTGATCAAACCGTTTTCCTTTTTGGGGTCCAATGGATCCCTACTTTCCAACACCAATACAGTATGGGAAGATATTTTGTAGGCAGTTGCATGAATTTGAAGTAATCAATAAAAGCCAACAAAACATGTCAAATCGCTTAACAAAACCATGTGAAATAGCGTAGCCAATGAAGCAACTCAACTGATTTTTATGTCGTATTGCATACTCTGATGAGCATGTTATACACTTGCTCTCTTGGGCGAAAGAGCTACTAATGATGCAAAATTTTGGAATTTACTTTAAAATGGCTAATGAGTGTTTTCAAATAAAAATAAAATTTGAATATTGAGTTTTTGAACACTTAGATTTGATTGTCACAAAATTAGATTTTTTAAAGCTTTTTTTTTTACATGTATATGTAAAATGTGTAAGATTTGTATTGGGTTGGTCATGCTGCGTATATAAGCTTATAAGCTTCAAAACCCGATGGGTTGATTTTTGGTAAATAAAAAATGAAAATAAACAAACAATAAGCACGAAAGACAAAGTTGAAAAATAATATAAAAAGATTATTAGAATTTTATGTGGTTCACCCCCAAAGGGCTATATCTACGGACATGACAAACTGAATCCATTATAATAGGTTTTGGGGTACAAAGGTATCGTACTAACTACAATAATATGAAGTCGAACAACCCTTGGAACTACTCTTTATTTTCTTTACTGGTAGCTACCATTACGGAGCACACCAAATAGATATGTGAGAGTAATAAGAAACGACCGTCTTCATTCAAAATGTTCATGAGAACTGCGTCTTTATAAGAAACAAACATTTATCTCTATACGAGGCATAGACAAATCGTTTATCTCACTAGAAGCTCATTTCTCTCTCTAGAGGCTACTTCAGATGCTCCTTCTTTGTATAGGAGGCCCTTGCCTGTCTCTAGAGAAGTCCACCTTTCCCCTAAGGCGATGGTGCAAAATGCTTCACTCTCTTATTTTATCTTATATAAGATTATCAATCCTATAACAAATAGAAATCATTATCATATTAGGGAATATTTTTATTTTCTATGTAATTTAGCTTCTTAAAAACAAGAGATTTCACATCCTACAAAAATAGAAATCTCAATAAATATGAAAACTCATCGATATCAATCCCAATAATATAGGATTTTTTTTGGGAGGTGTTTTTTTATATCACCATATCCAACAGGTCACTAAGTTGAAGGGTTTGCATCTCCAGAATTAATAAATGGAAAATAAGCTTATGCGAGTTACATTTTATTGGGAATAAATGTACTGCATCCTGATTTCTATGGCCTTGAGATGAACTGAGGCCAAAGGTCCACTTAGGCAACTTTGAAATAGCACTTCCACTAGCCCATAGGGGTCGCAACGCGTCGGGCTGGGTCTTAATCCAGCACGAAAATGTATTATGGGACCTGAACCTAGACCCGATTGGACTTGAAGTCACAGGACTCGGACTGGAAAATATAATGTGGGAACCAAATCCAGATCCCGATTGGATCTGATCAGACCCGATTCAAAAATTAAAATATATGTCTTTAAATGTGGAAAAATTTTATATAAGATTGCAACCTTAAAATGTATAATTAAATATGTGCCTCAAAAAACCATCGGCAAAAGTTGTTTTAATATTAAAAAAACCCTCTAATTAAGCATCTTGACATAGATATGTATGAATATGAAAAAAAGAAAAGAAAAAAGAATTTGCGCCCCATAAATAAGTGCATCTTGCAACACTTTATCTAGACCGTCCATTTTCAAGATTTTAATATGTTTATAGATCTACTTGATTTTAACCATTTTTTTTAGTTTAAAATTTATAATTAGATATGGAAATAGATTTTGAGATAATCCTAAGAATTTTTTCACTCCAAAATTATATATTATGATAAACTTTGGAGGTGCGTCTTAATTGGATTTAAGGTTGCAACCTTATAGAAACCACACCTTTTAAATATATTTAACTATTTTTCATATATTAGGATACAAAAATATATGTGGACCCCGAACCTAGAAATAGTTTTGGGTCCAAGATTTGGACCTAGACCCAACCTAACGGGTCCAAATTTTAGACCTATACTTGGACTTGGGTTGAGTCTACACTTCGGGGTCCCGGGGTTGGGTCCGGGTCCATTGCCAACCCTTAGCGCCTAGATGCTTCGGGCCAGGTTGAGCAGTCTCGGCCGCCAGGCTAGGCTTAGGCCATGGCTTGCCTGTTGCTAGTCCCTCTAGAAAGTGTTTAAAGTAGTATTATTTTTGCTCACCACTATTATGGATGGGCTCATATGCCCTTAACATGGAAGGTTGTGTTGGAATTCTCACATCACCCTAGCCATCTGAAAACGACTGTAGAAACGGGTCGGGTTGGGTCAAACCGGACCTGGACCAGACCCAAAAATTAAAATATCTATGTATTTCATATATTGGGACTAAAAAAATATTATCAGACCCAGACCTATAGTGTTCAAATCCAAGATTTGAACTTGGACCCGATCTGTTGGATTCAATTTTTGAACCTATTCCTGAACCCAAATCAAGTCTACCCCTCGGGTCCCGGGTCGGTGTGGGTCCATTGCCACCCTTAATCCTCAGCTCAAAAATAAAAAAATATTGTCATCTTCGAGTGGATTGTGGAGTTCCCTACACAAATATTTATTGAGTGGGTTTCTTAGACCACTATTATTGCAGCTTATTGGGATGGGAAAAATAGTTTTTTTTTAAATTATTATAATTAACATTAAATAGGTTTTTAAAGTCTGGTAGTACTGGCATGGGTCTCCATCATCACAAGTAAAAAACATGAGATCCACCCTAGAACTCCAAAACTCAAGTTTAATTTTATTTTTTTTTATAGATTGAGGGTTCAAAAACTATTTTTAATGTGCAAGTCTAAAAAAAAAAACGACTAATTGCGATCCACTGAAATGGATAGTCTAGATTGTATAGAGATAACATTACGTTAGAACATTTTTAAAGCTTCAAATCCATTTATTTTTTCATGATCTTAATCATGAATATCAAGATTTTTGAGTCATTAAGAATTGAAATATGGAGATATGAGGGAGTGTACAAATGTTTGATTAAAGCCCCCACCTTATCAATTACTTTGCCTTTAAAGTTCTGCATCAATCCCTGAGAAGTGGAGTTTCATGTGGGGAAAAATTTACCGGCTAATGGTCCTATACCAGATTCTTATTTCTTGACTGAAATAAGAATTGCATGCGTAACGATTTACATGCGATCCAAACGAGCCCTTAATCTGTGCATGCGAACGCCTGGTGTATCCATGCATGTTTTCTTTGGATGCGTGTATAGTGATTTAAGTTCTTAGGAACCCAAATTCTTTTCCCTTTTCTATAAATTCTATCCGGTGATTTTAAAGTGGATTTCAAAATTCAAGATGAGTACATTTGGCATAATTTTGCGGGGCATAGTGTATGCCTACTTCCCGGAGTATAAAAACAATTGAGGAGGACTCTTTGATCTAAAATTTTGGGATCCACTTTAGAAGTTTCAGATGATTAATTTTAAAAAAATAAAATTTGAATTTTGAATTTTTAAACACTTGGATATAACTACCCTAAACTGGGACGGTTTTTGTTTAATTTAATAAGGTTATTGCATTCAGGCATATATATAGTGTGTTTGAACCTTTTTTTTTTTTCTGCTTGGTTGATAAGATATATCTCCAAAATTTGTGGCCCCACAAGTACTCCTAGCTCTTGTTTTACTTTGCGGAGTTAAGGGAGGAAATGCTCCCATAAGACCCGAAAATCTTCTAAATTTTCATATTGAGAATAGGAAAAAATTTATATAAAGTTGCAACTTTACATGTAGAATTAGAGATTCACCTCAAAAATCTATCGGAAAAGATTGTTTTAATGTTGAAAAACTCTCTAGTCGATCATCTTGACAACGATATGTATGAATATAGATAAAAAAAAGATTGAGTCCCAAAAATAGTACATCTTGCAATGCATCATCTAGACTGTCCATTTTCAAAATTTTCATATGTTTATAGATCTTAATTTGAAGCATTTTTGGAGTTTAAAATTTTTTAATTAGATATGTAAATAGATTTTGAGATAATCTTAATAATTTTTTATATCAAAATTAGATGTTATGATAAAATTTGGAGATACGCCTTAATTAGATTATTTAAAGTTGCAACCTTATAGAAACCACACCCTTGAGAAAATCCTCCTAAATATGTTTTTTGACATATGAGATTGCATGAACAATTATTTAGTTGATTAATTATAAAGCACCAAAGGTGTTGTGGTCTTCGGGTTATGAGTTTATGACCATCCATCAGAGATCTTTGACGGTGATGGTGTGAGAATAGTCTGCAAGCTGTGGAAAAATAGAATGTTCACCTGCTTCAAATAATCACCGTTCAAAAATAAATGATTCAACGGTGTTGACCCTGTATAGCCATCTTATTCACCATATCATATGGTGCACAACATATATTTCCCAATTAGTGTTTTTAAAACCCACATATTTGGGTCCGGAATTTTCAATCGAGATTGAGAATCAACGGGATATAGCCCAATTTTTCAAAAATAACGTTTTTTATTTTTTTATTTTTTATTTTTTTTAAGTTTATCTAATATTTTTTTAAAATCTTTTTAAATCCTCCTATAGACCTTTATTTTAATTTAAATTTTAATTTTTTTAGATCAACGATCCGATCCAACGATCTGAGTTTTGAAACACTTCCGAATGCAGAGATGCAATCGCCTTTAATGAAAGTTTGTCGGTGTCGCTTATGGTTTTTCAGACGTCGCATAAAACCATGGGCTAAAAGGAAAAGGAAGGAACAAACTTCTCCTTTTTTTTCTTACCATTTTTTATTTTTTCCGAGTCTTTAAAGGATGAGGTATCTATAAGGCCTAAGCTTTATAAAAATGATATAAAGCCTCGCTTCACACGCTTTCGAAGATGGAAATCTTTTCCTTTTTTTTTGACAAATGTTATGGAATTTTATTGATCAAGAAAAAATTATAACATCATTAAGTAAATAAATCATCCGAAATCAAAAGAGACCGCAAATTTACTCATTTCTTTGCACAAAAAGTCAATCACTTCATTAGCCTCCCTGTAGACATATCTTTATGTTATGCGGAGACCATTCTCAATCTCCATCAAAACTAGCCATGCCAATCTAAGGCTCCACAGAGACCTTGAAATGTTATTGCACCAATTGGTCACACTCAAAGAGCCCCATTCTATAATGCAAAGCTGCAATAAACTCCTCTACTTAAGAATTTTAAGCCATTGTAATGTTGTTAGGATTTCTGCTTCATTTGCCGTCGTTTCACCTCAAGGTCTCGTATGGCACAATATAACTACACCTCTAGAATCTCTCACAACCCCTCCCATCCTAACTGGATCGGGATTTCCCAATTAGCTATCATCAAAATTCATTTTCAAACTACCCTCTCCCGAGGCTTCCCATGGCCCTTTAGGTTTCATTTTGATAACTCTATACATTTCGGCAATGGAAATCTTTGTAATAGCTCTAAAATCAATTTCCATCGACGACAATAAAATTTGAAACTAATGAAATGGTACAGATCTTGAGAACCTGTGAACACTTATTTAATTTGAAACTAATCAAATGGTACAGATCTTGCGAATACGTGAACATTTATTTTTAAAGCAAAATAGACGGTTGATATAATTTGTTACAATATACACTATTTTTAGAGCTGAAAATCCTAATATTATCCACAACAATAATGTTCAAGTCGAGATGATCGATGTAAAAGTTTTCTACTACTTGACTTGCAATTTTCAATCAGTTATGAAGCGAGGATTTCTTTAAGAAAAAGTATACAATGAGACTACGTATTTTTGATACAAGGTGATCACAATTAATCTTGACTATTGGATGTGAAATTAAATGGCAGCATTTATTCCATTGTCCAAGCCCAATCTTTAAAAGAAAATTTCTCGAATTTCGTAACACATCCAAGCTATCATATTTTACATCGGATGGTTATAAGTAATTGTGATATCTTTACATTAAAGGTAAATGGTCTCCTTATATACAATCTCTTTACTTATTTTGATAAGGATGTAGTAGCCCTATCAAACTATTTTCCGTCTTTAAACTACATAAATTTCTGTTTGTGGTCATGACACATCTTGATCATTAATTGTAGACATCGGACAGTTTTGAAATGTCAACGTACTATTTGAGACTCAACTGGAAACATGGCAAGTTTTTGTTTTCATTAATAATTATTTTAAACTCAATTGGAAAATTGTTTCATGCGAGCTACCCGACATTTATACATAATGCAGTCCAGAAGTGTAAATCATCCTTCCATAAAAATAAAAAAAAAGTTAACGAATCAAAAATCCATCTCAAAAATTAAATCCTTTAAAAAAAAAAAAAGGTATTACATTAAAAATTAAGCAAAAAAGTCCATCTCAAACATAGATTTTTAAGAGGCGCCGCCTTTCTACATGTGCGGGCTTGGCCCGCATTCTAACCGCTTCCAAAAGTTTTTTATATACGTATTTTCTACGTCAGTATTTGATAGAAGAGAAACGAGAACAATAGAAATAGAGGCGGCCGACCAAAACACGCCTCCCTCTTTCTCTCTCTAGATTCTTGTAATCTCTCTCTCTCTCTCTAGCTTCTCATATGCTCTTCTCTTTCTCTCTCTAGACTTTCATAATCTATCTCTCTCTAGCTTCTCATATAGTCTCCTCTTTCTCTCTCATAATCTCTCTTTCTCTCTGTAGATTCTGATTCTCTTCCTCTCTTGCTGTAGATTCTTTCGAAATCTTCTCTCTCTCTCTCTCTCTCTCTACTTTTCCTGCTTTTATCACACGCTTCTTCTGCTGCCCTTGAACTGCATCACAAGCATTTTTATTAGGGTTTTGACGGGGAGAGAGGAGAGCAAATTGATTTGTTGGAAGCTCGCTGTGGAGGTAAAAATACATCAGAAACTCTAACTCACGGCTTTGATTTTGTTGCGGAGAATCGAAATTTGTATGATTGCAGAGAATCGTAATTTGTATGTGATTGTAATTGTAGTGATCCATAAAGCCCTAGTTGTTTTGTGATATGTTGGTTACATGATGGATTTTTGGATGTGGTGGTAACTGTCGGGATTCCTTAAAGCCCTAATTTTGTTGTAGTATGCTTGTTCTGTCATTGATTTTTGCGGCAAACCTATTGATAGTCGTTTTTGTGCATCTTCTATTTAGCTGGAGATGACACAATGAAAGCATAATTGATGAAGAGTATTTTCTCTGTTAAACCATGGAAACCCTAATATTTAATGAATCTATTTTTTATTAATTTGTAGTATTAAATAAATTGGAAATCTGAACTCTTGCTTCATATTGTTGAGGATTTGGTTGGTCCTTTGGTCGTAGTGGTAAATGAATTGTGAATTTGAACTCTTTCTCATATGTTGAGTCCTTGGTTCTGGTACAGTGAAGTTAGTTGCAATTCTATTCCTTAATGCATCAGGAAGTCTTTATGTTACTGTGTATTTTTCTTTATGGAAGAGAGACCCTTGGAAACCCTAACTAGTTCTGCATAAGAAACTCTTCATTTTTGCAGAATCTATGGGCTTTCTTGGATCTTGATCATTAATGGAAATGTTGGTTAAACTGTAATTCTTACTGCATTGGTTGTGAAACTCTTGATATGGTAGAAAAAATCTCTGTAGTTTTTGATTCATTATATGAATCTATCTCATTTTTAGTTTGTCTCATGAACCCATCAGTGTTTGCCACTCGTATGTTCAGAATCTATTTGCATAAAAATCAGTAATATTCTTAGTTGCTTGTTGTTTGTACAATTCACGAGTGTTCTGTTCTGTCCTGTCACCATTGTAACTATTGGAAACCCTGTTTATATTGTTTTATCTGTTGAATTTTTGCTCTATGACCTTAATTATCTGCATTAACTGCAGAAAGTATTTCTCTCATACTTGCTGGAGTTCTTTAAATCCTGAATTCCTACTGCTCTGCTAATTGAATATTTGGTGCAGCACTGAAAACTTTAGGAAGGAAACACTAAGTTTTTCTGCTTCTGCTTAGTGTGTTGTGCTGTACTATTGATAACCTTTGCAAATCTTGATTCGTTCGGTGTCTGGTGAATACAAGCAAGCAAAGCCTTAGGAAATCTACTAAAAAAATAAAAAGCCCTAGGAAACCCAGATTGTTATGTTGCAGCATACCTTCCAAGAGTTTAGACCTTTTAAAAACTAGCTCTTTGTGAATTTATTGCCAACTGAGTAAATAACCTTCAGACCTCGGGAGATTTACTTATTTTTATGGTGCTTGGACCTGGTGTGAATGATTACACTTCACTGTGAAAGGTTATAATGTGGGACTGTGGGTCCAATAGTTGAGTGTGTTTTTGGGTGTTTGGAAGTCACTATTGTTAATTATTTTATTTTATTTTTATTAACCAATTATCAATAGAGTAAAGAAAAGTGAAAAACATAAGATGCTTTGGTTTGGTTTATATGGAGAGGATTTGATTTATGTTCTTTGAATTGGTTCTATGCAGTATTGTCTTCTCTAAAGTCATATGTTTTTGGTTTGAAACAGGTTCCCAAGTAAAAATAATGTCGACCCCTGCACGAAAGAGATTGATGAGGGATTTCAAAAGGTTGCAGCAAGACCCTCCTGCTGGTATTAGCGGTGCACCTCAAGACAACAATATTATGCTTTGGAATGCTGTTATATTTGGGTAAGTCTATTGTGGTTTCGTGCAATTGTTTATTCGTTCCTTTTTATTGTTTTCTACGGTAAAATTCTTGGGAGGCTTATAGTTCTGAAACAGATTTTTTGGCTCTGGCTTTTGAATTGCAGTCCAGATGATACACCATGGGATGGAGGTGAGTCTATCTTTAATGTGGTGTACTTGGTTAATTTGGTTGTAGAATTACAGATAGAAATTGGTTGTGAATTTGTGCACTCTATTTTTCTATTCTTGCTATAAATTTGCGCACTCTGTTGCTTTCGGCTTGCAGTAAACAGCTTGTATGCAAATAGGAATGTATGTAATAGGTGATATGGCTTTCCTTATTTATTTTTCTTATATCTCAGCATTCATCTTTTGAATATCTGAGATGCTTTACAGCCATTTCAATGATTTTAACCAATGCAAGGGTCCACTGAGATTCTAATAAGTTCTCTGTTCAGTGAACTATGGATCTTAATCTAGGAAGCCCACATGCTGGCCCTTAAATTTTAAAATTGAGTTTTCATACTATTTTTATTTATTGAGATCAGCCAGTTTGCATGCACTTTGAAGCGGAATTAGATTGCATAGTACTTTGAGTGGAGATTGTTTGGCAAACTATCTCTGAGGTGGACAGTTAATATTACAGTTAAGTTTTTGGTTTGTTTTACCTTTTCAGTTGCAGGTTGCATTAACCTGCAACAGCTACTTTAAGCACTCGTTTTCAGGGACTTCTTATAATGATGCTCCTCATTGTAATTTGAGTTCTATATTGTTGGTATCAAAATGAATAATTTATTAAGTTGTTACGGTTTACTTTTAAGTTGCATGAGTTTAACTGTCTTGATAAAGGTATTAAATTGAGATTCAATCAAAAAATGGCAACCCATATGTTGGGTGCTTTGTAACAGTAATAACAAAATGAGGGGCATATACATGGCCTTCAATAAAAAAATGTCATTACGTTAAAGATATTTGTACAGTCTCACATTTTGTCAGTTGCTTTATTCCGCATTGATTTTCTATTTTTGTTGAAGAAGAAACAAACACTGAAGCTTTAAAGAATTTAAGACCTTGACGCTCCCTATTTTTCTATCTGTCTTAACATGGTAGGTGCACTATATTAATGGACATACAGAACTGCAGGCAGACCCATGAGTGCTTTGTTATTGCTTCTACTATATTTTTAATTTAATTACGTTTCTTCATTGATTTTCTTCAGGTACGTTCAAGCTGACACTTCAGTTTACAGAGGATTATCCCAACAAGCCTCCAACGGTTCGTTTTGTATCCAGAATGTTTCATCCAAACAGTAAGTTGAAATATTATATTCTGATTTCATCCTAGCGGTTGATATTGATTATCTTGTTCATGTCCTGGCAAATGTGTGTGACAAATCTGGTTATAACAAAGGGACCAACTCATATTTGAGTGAATACATTAGATTATATGTTTGTATATTTCTCCGGTTCCTGAACTTCAACCAGATCATAAATGTCATAGTATCACAACTTCTGAATTATCATTATAGGGAGTCTGGTTCTTTTAGATATTATGGGGAAACATGGTATGCACATATTTTTGAAAGTCATGGTTACGTTCTTTTAAATCTGGAAATGTGCTCCTTAAAGTCTCTGAATCCTTAGTTGACTTCATGCACTTCATGCATTGGGTACATGAATGGAAAGCATGCAACCCAGTTACCTACCTATTGGTTTGAGCTCTCTTTCTTTCTGTTCTTATTGGCCATCCATGTTTGTTCAGTGTCAGCTCTGCAATTTTTTATGATTCTCAGAATGAGTTTTCTTCTGATAAAAAGCGTACTAAGCTCTTATTATTATGGTATGGATATTATCAGTTTATGCAGATGGAAGTATCTGTCTGGACATATTGCAAAACCAGTGGAGTCCAATCTATGATGTTGCGGCCATACTGACATCAATCCAGGTATGGATATACAATATATACATGGGTTTTCTCATTTTCCTTCCCAGTTTGCTAGTTTGGAAGTTCCATTGCTTGAGTTTTGTCAGAAGTAGCATGGACATTTTGGTGGAGTCCTATGTTTCCAAGTTTAGTGAATGTTCAAGTTTGAAAAAAAAAGGATCAGTTCATCGATGGTCCGCAAGTATGATGGTTCTAATGATGATCCTGCACGCCACAAGTTTTATATAGACTTGTCTCATTTTTAGAGAAAAAGATATAAGAGGTCTCTAGTAGGGTTATACCAACCTCCAAAAACAACATATCTCTACTATGAAGCATTTATACTATTAGCTTAAACTGGCAATAACTTGTCTGATTCTCTTCTGTTCTTTTATTTCTTTCTAAGCGTGTATATGGATGATAGGTTAGTGCTTCCTGCATGTCGATGGTTTGGTAATTCGGTCCCTTAGGCTGCAGGCTAGTGGTAGACATCCAGTTTTCTTTTAGGGAGGTCGAGGGTTCAGAATCTTGGAGATTGTCCCCGAAAACCACGTCAACCTCTTTTAAACTTATAGTTTGGTAAATTAATAAGAATGAGTTAAGTTGTTATCTGCAGTAGTATGGGTGGTTTGCCATGGTAAGGGGTTGTTTTTGGGCTTGAAAGAGTGAATTCTGATAATTGATCCCTTTGATGAGTGAAAGGTGATGCACTCAGGTTTTGAACATTTTGATTTCTAGAAAATGGTCAAGAGTTGGCTTTTGTGTTTACTTATTATTGGATACCTCTTCTGCCCTTGTCTTGGAAACTAAAGGGGGTTTGGGAGTTATTCATGGAATATTGATCAGAATAAACTCCCAAATGCAAACGGTTTGGGTGGTGATCAGGGTTATGGAAGTCACTTAGGTTGGGTAGTAGTCATTTGTAGTTGTGAGTGCGTATGAAGGCATGCTAGCAATTTCTTTTGAGATGATAGTGATGTTGTGTCTTTGAGTCACATGAGGGGCAGTTTGAGCAAGATGTGTATCCCTTTTCAAGATGAGGTGAGCAGCTTTGTGGCAGACTGTTAGGGGTTCTCTAGTGGGACATGTGGTAAAACTTTGAGTCCTTTGGAGGCTTTCAAGAGAATATATAATTTAGTAAACAAAAAAAAAAAAGAGAAAAAGATGTACAGGGAGCTCTCATAATGGCTAGAAAAATTTTCTATTGGGTATCTCAATAGATCACTGGTGTTTCGACTTTTAACTCAAATCACTAGATGACAGAGTTGGTTATATTTAGGTATTTCATGCTAGGTAAAATGGTTTATACATTTGTCCAACTCCTTTCCTTGGGATCTGCCAAAGGCTTTTTTAATAGTTCTAGACCCTAGAGAATTAAGGTAGGGTGATCCCATTCTCCTTGACTGTTCAATATCATGGAAGATGCTTTTCCCATGTGTCAAGAAGGTCACTCCAATCTGTTTTAATAGATAATTTTATTTTTCCACCAGATGCTGCATCTCTATTTTGTTCATGATTTCCTCTTTTTCTTTTTTTTTTTCTTAATTAATGATAACTTGATTATTTCATCAGTTATTTTGATGCATTAATGGTGCATGCAAATAATCTTAAGGGTCACTCCTAAATGCTATGAGTTTGTATTGGCCAAGAGATCAACTTAGCAAGGCTTTAATGGTGGGAATGGATGTAGATTGAAAATACTCATGAGGTTTATTCATTGGCTCCTGCTGAAAGCCTCCATCCTTGCATGAAAAGACCAATTCATTTCAGTAGGTTGATGCATCAGTTTTATCAAAACCACCTTGGCTAGCATCTGCCTATCATCATCATCCGAGCCTTATCCCAACTACTCGAGGTCGGCTACACGAATCATGTTTTGTCAGTCTATTCTATCAAGGACCATACCTTTAGTCAGACCGTAAGTAACTATATATTTTTCTCACTACCTCCATCCATGTTCTTTTGAGCCTTCCCCTTGTGACTTTAGAGCCTTCCACTTGAACCAAATCACCTCTCTTAACTAGTGATATTTTAGGTCAACACTGCACATGAACATACCACCCAAGTCTATTTTTTCTTATCGTTGTGATGTTTATCTGGGGTATTCTATGAGAGAGTGCTCCTATTTAATACAGGTAGATCTTAATTCTTAAAAATACGTAGGAGATATTTATGGGTTGGAGCAGGATCAGTGAAGACCCTGAAGAGATTATTCTCCATTAGAAATCTCCTAGGAATCACTTAGGGAACAGTAGGCAAGGGAAGAGACCACAAACCAGATACTTGGAAATATGTTGGAGAGTTGGATTCGAGGATATCTGTGTTTTTGTTGAAGGAGGTTGAGGAGGCTGTTCTATTATAAAATACATTTGAATATTGCTGGCATTTCTCCCTTCGATTGTAATAGTTAAATAGGTTGGAGTAGGATGTTGTAGACTTATCTTTGTTTGAGATTGCCGGCAAAGACAATAGAGGAGTTATCTGCATTTGTAAGAGTTATCAAGGCTTAACACTTGGCTGGTAAACTTGTTGCGAGGAAGTCTGTTGTGGTTCTATAGAAAATGGCATTTCTTTTAAATTAGGAGCTTTTTATGTTTGGCCGATGGGGTTTTCAGTTTCTGTGGAAGAGAGCACGCTTCCCACCTATAAATAGGATCACTTCTTGTAGTGTTAAATGGAGACAGGGTGGAGGTGTTTGGTTTTTGTTTTTGTGTGGGGGGTGGTGTTGGGGGGGTGGGCGTGGGTAAAATGGCCACTGTTCTGAGGAGGAAGTCAGGCAAAGGAAATTTTCCCATTTTCTATGATGAATCTCCGAAGAAGAAAAGGGAATGAAGTTCTTAAGTTGATTTCTTTAATAAAGTTTGACAAAGCGTAGCAAGGAGTCCTGCTTGTAATGCATAATGGTATGGACATGATGTTTACATGCTTCTCTGTTTTTCTTATTATATAACAAGTATTATTTGTCAGATTTTCTCTGCCAATATATTCTCTCATTGCCTACCATGGGACATAACCCATCCTAAGTTTTAGTGAAGTATTCCCTACATTAGAAGTTGGAAAACTTAAAACCTCACTCTAAGCATATGGAGTTTGCCATTTTGACAGAAAACAGGTCGTCAGTGTTTTGTCCCAAATGCCCTGATAAAGTCTTAGTGCCTTTAGGCACCTGTTCCCTCTCTCTCTCCTCTCTTTCACACGCACAGAAATAGACAAACTTCCCTTCTCTCTCTCTTTCTCCTCCATCTATTGCAATGGGTATGATGAATGCGAGTCTCTCTCACACAGTCACACACGCGTCACACACACAAGGAGATAAATAAACCTACCCACCTGCCGACACACACGCACACCACACACATGTACACAAAGGTATAAAGAAACCTACCCACCCAACGATACACGTGCGCGCACACATTGACAATTTCACATTAAGCAATAGGTTTCATTCATCACATTCTTTTGAGGATTTGAAAACATCTACTGTTTATGTTGCTTCTCTATTCAAATATGGTAATTTGTCTTCAATATCACTTGGGAGATCTCCTCCATATGCAGCTCCTTATATACACTTATTCTCATTCTATGCAGTCGTTACTCTGTGATCCAAATCCTAATTCGCCAGCTAACTCGGAAGCCGCTCGGATGTTCAGCGAGAACAAGCGTGAATACAACCGTAGGGTTCGTGAAATCGTCGAGCAAAGCTGGAACGCTGATTAGTAACTCGCTTAGTTGCACATCATGGTAGTTTAGGGCTTTGCTTGCAAGTAATATTTTGGAGTCAAATCTGCATTTAGCGTTTTCAAACTTCCGACTATAAATTTTAATTCGGACCATGAACGATTCCTTCTGCGTGCTTCTTTTGATCCTTGGGCTTCTTACCTGCAATATCTGCTTGAAAATGCGCTTAAATTTGGTTCCAATTGCTCTTGATTTCTTCTGTAAAAAGGAAATTCTCTCTACCAGCTTGAGTGTAAACTCTCTTAGCCCTGCCAGCTTGAATATAAATCTCTCTCTCTCTCT